TGACAGAACAGGCCTTTAGATAGTTAAATACTTTCAGGAGATTTTATGAGCCCAAATTCTTATGTGTTCCCATATCTAGAGAAATACTAACATCATTAACGGTGACATCTGCTTTATTAAGGATAGTATTACAATTAAAAGTCAAAATGGAGTAGCTGTGATTCAGATATCCAATGAAATAACTAGGTGACACTATGGGTGTGATTTCAGACAAGTCCTTGTATTGCTAAGAACTTGAGTTTTCTGAGCTGTGTCAGAATTGGATGCTACCAGCCATTCTCAAAACAATGTCTGCTGGCAGCTGGTAACTGCAGCCTTACTTTTTAAAGGTCTCCTCTTATAACTATTACATTTTAGACAATGGAATTGCTTTAGATCATACATTAACAAAAAGAGACATGTATGGTGACCAGTAGAACCTGTTATCTATGTGTTAACACCACATTAAAAGTTAAAACCTACTTAGATAAAACTAGACAGCTGGCTACGTGGCTACAAGTCTCTCCAAAGTGCCTGGTCCAGACTGGGTTTCAGGCTTATTCTCCTGAAAATAAATGAGATTTATTTTGCCTATTAAAATTCCAGTTGTCACTCTTCCAACTACTTCTAATCTGGTCTGTTACACTAAAATGGCAGATCAAGGGACTGAGATTTGAATCATACAAGACTCAGATCCAGGACTTGGAACTCAGAAATATTTCCAATTCAGTGTCTGTTTTCCAAATTGAGGCAGGACTATGCCCCATTTTAGCAGGAAGTGGCCAGAGCTGTCATCACCCAGTTTCCTGAGTTAAAACTGATAGGACTCTGTGGGGGCTCTGGAATACAAATCCTTTCTGTGTCCCCTGTTTTTTGTTTATAGGATATAGACTTCATTCAGCCTCCCAGACCTTCCCTGAGCTCCAAAGGGCAGATTCAAACAGTTGTTAATCAGGGAAGGGAGGGGATGCAAAAATAGGGGAGGAGCAGTCAAATGGTGGTGCAGCCTTAGGGCAGGGTCCTGGTTCCTCCTAAGGAGTATGCATAAGAACATCTTTGAGTTTTTCTGCAGGAACTAAGGCCCCCACCCAGGTAGAGTATCGTAATTTCAGGCTGAGCACAAGGTTCCTGGAGCCACCACCCTGTTACCTCACCACCAACCAATCAGAAGGAAGCCACACACCCTGCAGCTCTCACCCCAGATTTTGCCTTCCTTTTCTGGGCCTGGTGATGACCATCCTGTTAGGCCCCTGTCTGTTTCATCTCCAACAGGCTCCAAGAGTTTCAGGCTAAATTGTTACCACAAGGGTGAATGCTGGTTTTGGGCACGGAATACCTTGATTTACATTAGGTGGAGAGAGACTTCTACTCTACTAGGCAGGACTATGCCCATTCTTAGCAGGAAGTAGTTACAGAAGAAGGAGACCTCCACCCCAATTCCCAAGAAGTATCTTGAGTATGAAGTCTCTCCAGGGGAGTTATTAGGGGAACCACTGACTGAAACCACCCACCCTGGCCAGGCCCAGTAGTAACCACTTGTGTGAGTTATCTTAACAATAGGAGGTCCTGGTAAGGAACATAGAACTAACAAGCTACCACCAACCAGAAGAATTCGGGAAAGGTCAAAAGGAGACAGGAGACACCAGTCCATATGTCCTCCCAGAATCCTTCTTGCTGTAATCCATCTTGGCTGAGCAATGCACTTGCCACCAGGAAGGACCCTGAGTCAGAATGATTGGCCAGAGACAACCCAGAAACTAATCCTATCACCATAAAACCCGAGACTGTGAGCCACATGGCAGAGCAGTCCTCCTGGGTTCCCTTACCCTCCTGCTCTCCACCCAGGTGCCCCTTCTCAGTAAAGTCTCTTGCTTTGTCAGCATGTGTGTCTCCTCAGACAATTCATTTCCGAGTGTTAGATGAGAGCCCACTCTCGGGCCCTGGAAGGGGTCCCCCTTCCTGTACTAATACTTTTTCAATTTTCTCTGGATATTTGAACAGTTCTCCCATTTATGACTTGCTTTTTTAAGATTGAAAGGACTGTGTGAGATAAGGGGTGGAATGTTTCAGTTGTTCACACTGAGATTCACAATTGTATTGATAACTAGCTTTCTTTGGTTACTTTATTAGGACCTAAATCCTGCCTCAGCCATGGGTGGTGTAATCTTTGTACTTTAGCTTCCTCCTAATAAAGTCTAAAAGGAGAGAATTGAAAGGTAAATTTCAGCTCTGTAATTCTGTGAACTCCTTATTCTGCTTTGAAAGTGGCCACCTCAGAGGTTTCTCAAAGAAGAATTAATTTGCCCTTGATAGCCATAGATAAAGAATTAAAAAAATAGCAAGTGCTATTTCTACTTTCCACTGGTTGTAATATGAAACTAGAGCTGCTTGGCAATTACTCCCCTTTCTCATCTCAGCACCTCTCACCCTTATGCTCCATTTCCCTCCTCTCTCTCTCCTGGAAGCCTTGTCATTTTCTAAAACATATTTATGCTTTTTCCTAACTTTGCAATATTTTTCAGTAGTGCATATAAAAAGACTAAGAAAGATAAGCAGATGTTTGGCCACTGTCTAGACTTGTCCTTCCTAAACTCTTAACATGTACCTAAATGACCTGGGGATTTTGCTAAAATACAGACTCTGACTTAGTGTGTCTAGGGTGGTCTCTCAGATTCCTGATTTCCAACAAGTTCCCAGGTGATGGCACTAGTCCTAGAATTACACTTTGGGTAGCAGTTCTTGAGACTATTTTGTAGACTTAAAGTGATCATAAACCTAAAACTTAAAGAAGAGGTAATTATAAAAAATAAATATTGTATTTCAATTTCATTAAAAAAATCATGTCTTTCCGCTGACCTCTTCACAAATAAAATCAGTGTTTTCTTTCAAAGTTGAAATTTCCAGAAAGGCAGTGCATTATTTCTATAATCTATTCTCATGTGTCTTCTCTGCATTATGATTTCTACATTTTTTAATTTGGCAAAAAAATCCACATTATGATTTTAAATTTAGACAAGTTGAACATCACAATTTAATTCTGAAAACCTAAACATATAGGAGAGTAAATTAAACTTATATAATTATTAAGATGATTGGGTTATTTATTTAAACTTAAACATTTCTCAACGTTTATGACATAAGCTTTATCGTGTGTGTTTTAGAAAAAATGTTTACATGCCACAGAACATAACAGTGCTCTAAAATACTGCAACAGAATAACTACTAGTTATCCAAAATAGTAAATTTACAAAAAACTGTATCTTAGCTGAAGTTAGCTATTTTTTTCCACTTTTCTTTCAAAACCCCCTAATATTCAATAATCTTGCTACTGGCTGATAAAAATATAAACAAATATACAGAATTACCGAAAATAGTTATTTCAGATATGCGGGAATTTGAATTATGACTATAGAAGCCATTGTCACTCAAAAATTATAGAAAAATTTAAAGACTAGATGTGGTATTCTGAGATTCTGCTTCATCTTATAAAAAATATGTATACACATTTCCCTTTCCTTTTAATATATGCTAGATTTCTTTGTTTTTTAGCACAAGCCCAGTAAAGTCCTTGTTTCCTAGTGAAAACTAAAGAGCAACAACAGCAACAACAACAAAAGTTTTTATTTTAAAACTTGCATTGTTTCTCCTTTATTTGTACATTTATCTGTACTTTTCCTCATTGAAGAGGTAGGGAGCTCAGGGTCCAGGATTACCCACACATATTATTGGAGGAAACAGCATCCATCCCCAGTCTTAACCTAAAGGATGGTGATGGATGATAACAGTTGAAGAGAAAACTTGGTGGTTAGACAGAGAAGATGAACAACATATTAGGAAGGCAAGAGTCTGAATAGAACACACTGGTGCAATATAGGAAGGATTCAGGGTGTTTGTCTTTAATAATGTCCCAGAAGAAAAATATTTGTTGTCTAAGGAGCTTGGTAATTTTGTATAAATATTAGGGCCCAATTTTAACCCTACATAACTAGTTTCAGATCACATTAGAATTCAGTGTTTTCTTGATATTCCACTTAAGAAACTACATCTTGCAAATTAAATTGACATTCAAAAAGTGTTTAAAAAGATCTTGTTAAACTATCAGTAATACCAACCACTCTGAAGGTTGGTTTTTAAAATGTTACTCTTGCAGAGTATTATAGGCTTGCATCTGCATCTGTGAAATTCTTTTATCTCTATTGTATTATTTATCTTGTAAGAATAAAGTTTACTTATCTTTGAATAAGTCACCGACCATTTAATGATGTGGAAAATGTAGCAAAGATGACCAATTCATTTTGCTAAGCAAAGAGAACTGAAAAAAATGCAGCTGTTTCAATGCACCTTCCTTATGCAGAGGAAAATATTTCTTTTTTTATTAGCTCCATCTGATGGTCAATCTGGTTTTTACACACTGCCTGGCTATAAATTCCCAACAGTAATTTCATTGTTTTCTATCCCTCTCTTCTATTAGAAAAATGTGCTATATTGTGAAGATACTCCTTAGCTGATTATGTATCTAATTAATTCATTGAATTCTGCAAAGTATTTACTAATGTAAAGAACACTAAATCATGCTAATTCTTGTGGCTATTTTCTTTTTTCCTTTTAAGTTGAGAAGCATAAATATCACAGATTACAACCATGTAAAATTTAAAATTTGAAAATATGAGAATATTAGTGATACTGTCCTGTATGCACATTTTCATACAGGACACACACACCTCTCAGATAGGCATGGCCTGCCCATTACCTAATTTATGTTGAACATGTACATGGTGATAACAGAGTTTAAGCACATAAAAATGACTTTATTTTCCTTATGTATATTTTATACTAATGGACTAGTTTGGCAAAAACCTATTTATATGATATACCATCCTAATGTTTTCAGCTATGAGCATGCATGCTTGAAAATACAATTCTTTCAATGCAGAGAAAAAATACCTTAGGATTTAAATTTATTTGAAATACATAACTGAGTCTAAGCATTAAATAAGAAATAAATTAAGAAAATACTATACCTCAGCATCATACTCCCATAACTGATTTCCTCTCATGTGGTGGCATTTTAACATGATTACAGGTCCGTTGAGTCTAGACACATCCAAGCACAAGTCATCGGTTCTGATTTCTTTGTCAGCAGTATAAGAAAATACCTGAAAATATAAGAGTCAGCCAATAAAATAATATCTTCTTTAAAAAAAAAAGTTGCAGTATAGCAGATTTGTCTGTGGAAGCTTTCGTATCAGATAAACTTGTGTTTTCAAATGATCTCTGCTGTGTGATCTTGAGAAAGCTAGTTCATCTCTCTGCGTCCTTCAACTACAAAATATGTACAGTGTCGTGCTTTTTGTGAACTCAGTTTAACAAACTAAATTATTATTTTTGTAATTCTAACTTTTTTTTCCTTTTTTAAATTGAAGTAATAGTTGATTTACAATGTTTAGTTTCAGGTGTAGAGCAAAGTGATGTATATGTATTCTTTTTCAGATTCTTTCCCCTTATAAGTTATTCCAAAATATTGAGTATTATTCCCTGGGCTATACAGTAGATCTGTGTTGGTTATCTATTTCATACATAGCAGTGTGTATATGTTAATCCCAAACTCCCGATTTATACCTTTGCATCCCTACCCCTTTCCCCTTTGGTAACTACAAGTTTGTTTTCTATGCCTGTGAGTCTGTTACTGTTTTGTAAGTAAGTTCATTTGTATCATTTTTTAGATTCCACATATAAGCAATATCATATGATATTTGTCTTTCTTTGACTTATTTCACTTAGTATGTTAATCTCTAGGTCCATCCATGTTGCTGCAAAGGCATTATTTCATTCTTTTTTATGGCTGAATAAAATTCCACTGTATTTATATACCACATCTTCTTTATCTATTCCTCTGTCAATGGACATTTAGGATGCTTCCATATCTTGGCAATTGTAAATAGTGCTGCAGTGAAGATTAGAGTGCATGTATCTTTTCGAGTTACAGTTTTCTCTGGATATATGCCTAGGAGTGGGATTGTGGATCATATGGAAGTTCTATTTTTAGCTTTTTAAGGAACTTCATACTGTTTTCCATAGTGGCTATACCAATTTACATTCTCACTAACAGTGTAGGATGGTTCCTTTTTCTCTACACCCTCTCTAGCATTTATCGTTTGTAGAGTTTTTGGTGATGGTCATTCTGACTGGCGTGAAGTGATACCTCATTGTAGTTTTGATTTGCATTTGTCTTATAATTGGCGATGTTGTACATCTTTTCATGTGCCTTTTGGCCATCTGTATGTCGTCTTTGGAGAAATGTCTGTTTAGGTGTGCCTATTTTTTGATTGGGTTGTTTCTTTTTTTGATATTGAGCTGTTTGTATACTTTAGAGATTGATCTCTTGTAGGTTGCATCGTATGCAAATATTTTCTCCCATTCTGTAGGTTGTCTTTTTGTTTATGACTTCCTTTGCTGTACAAAAGCTTTAAAGTTTAATTAGATCCCATTTGTTTATTTTTGTTTTTATTTCGATTACTCTAGGAGATGGATCCAAAAAGGTATTGCTGCAATTTATGTGTTCTGCCTATGTTTCCTCTAGGAGTTTTAGAGTATGCAGTTTCACATTTAGGTCTTTAATCCATTTTGAGTTTATTTTTCTGTATGGTGTTAGAGGATGTTAACTAAATTATTAAATTCTTAATATTTGGTGACATTGTATTTTCTGAACTATATTTGCCTTATAAAACTTACACAACAGTTTCAATAAAATAAAGTTTGTAAACTTTATGGAGCTCCGTAAAGGGCAGTCCTTGTTGCCACCACCATATGACCAATTCCCTAAGTCTAGAGACAATGATGTTTTTCATCAGTTTCCTTTCTATAACATAAGTATATCACATAAACTTTATTAAATATTGTCAGTGGGTTTCTGAAGGTTGTAGAATTATCTTTAGAGATCTCCTTAAAGGCAGGCTCTATGTTTACCTTCCTCATGTGGTTTTGGCTGGGCTTGACTATAATTCTTCTGAAAATATCCAAGAAATGTCAAGGTAGATAGTAGACTCATTGTTAGCTAATTCAAACTGATCCTATAATAATCTCTATTATTTTGTTCCTAGTGTGAATAATTTATTTATAATGTTGATTATTAAAGTTTTGTAAGGGTTATTAAGTACATAATTATAAAAGTTGTTTTCTTCTGTTAGTTATGATAAGCATGCTTCAGTATTCCGTGGGTATTTATTTTTTCTTTGCAATGTCCAGAGGGAGTATGATGAGGAAGGTCATCTCAAGGTCTTTTCATTTCCCAAAGCAACCTGATGAAATCTGAGGAAGTCAGCTCTACAAATCACTTACACACTCTGAGTCCTAGCCTGTAAGCTAAGTTAGTCTTGAAATGGTTGCCTCTGTAGCACTGCTACTCAGGGCTTCTAGGAAGACTAGGAAGATCACAAGTAGTGGTAAGAGGGAGATGCAAAGTCAGTGATGGAACCCAAGTACCCTCTTAAGCCAACATCTTAAAAGGAAAATTTTCACAAAGGTTATACATTTTACTTAATATAAAAACTTGGGAAGTGTATAAAGTTCTTTTATTTAAACAATATAAACTGTATTATAGATTTCATGTATTGAATTCAGAAAAAGTTTTCCTATGTTTGAAGTATCATGTATATGTGTATACTTTTTATACTTTTCAATGTATATACTTTTCATGGAAAAAGAGTAACCAAAAGAAGAATAAAGGAAACACCCATCTAAGATAAGTATTTGTATCCTTCCCAAACATGGTTAGTATTTTTTTAATACAATTACAAGCATATTTAATTAAATAAATGAATCTGGTAGTAAACCTTGATGTGAGAGAGGGTAGTTTCTAGAGAAATTTCTTTTACCCATTATAGGATTATTTCAATGTGAAGGATAATTTTCCACTTTGAAATTGCTTTATTTTAGTTGTATACAGATGGCAATGTAAATGGAGACACCAAAGCATCCATATTCACCATTAATTTTGCATAATGAGTATAATCATGGCCTGAGCATCAATTCTCCTCAGGTCTCTAATGATAGTTTGGAAACTTTAACTATTGAAAGTTCTAGAAAGAAGTCCACAAAGCATTCCTTGTTCCTCAATTTCTAATTTTGATTCATTTTTGGGTCAATTAATAGATATGTAGTTTACATCACATTTAAGAAAGATATCCGTAGAATACTCTCTGACCCTATATATGAAATTATCTTTCTTTGGACTTTGCAATTGAAAAAAAATTAACTGATGCATCTACAAGTCATGGCGATTGCTGGCAAACACCAGAAGCAGCAAAGAATGATTCTCCCTTACAGGTTTCAGAAAGAATATGCCCTTTCTGGCACCTTGATTTCAGACATCCAGCCTCGAGAATTGTGAGTCAATAAATTTCTTTTGTTTTAAGCCATCCAGTTTGTGATGGTTTGTTTTAGCAGTTTGAGGAAACGAATACACTTCCTTTTATTCCTAATGCTGGTTGAAGCCTTTAAAAGTAATGGGATTAGTTTTCCAAATGTCACTGCAAATTTTTAAAATCTATTGTATCTCAATATCTGGGCCTAAAATTGTACCATCCAGTTAATACTTTCCAGAAGCATCAGAGCAATCATTTTCATAATCATTTTTCCATTTAAATATATCTTTGTAAAGTCGTTCTTTACTATGACTAGATGATTTACTTTTACATATACTTTATTGAGGTTAGATTGATTTCTGTCTCTGAACTGATACACTCAAATGAGTCTAGGAATAACTCCCAACATATGAAAGATGATAGCCAAGCCCAGTCTCAATTCTTTTTAATCTTAGTATTTTTTCAGAGAAGGTAAACTTTTTCATTATATCACACATGCATACAGTTTGTTCTGGACTTTTCTTTTTGGGAAGTGTGTCCAAAGGTATTTTATGATTCTTCAAATATCTAAAATTGAAACAGCATTTAAACATTCTTTAAAGACTGTGTGAGAATTATCTAAAATATTCTGCAGTAAATTAGTACTTCGCACAATGAAAGAATGTGTCAATACATTGTTTTAAAAATTGTATCTTGTTTAAATCCTAATGTATAGCTAATTCTTTAAAAATACTCTTATATCTTTACCCCTTTGAATAATTGCGAGCAGCATAGCAGTCATTCACAAAACCTTGTAGAGCAGCCCAAGTTGCAAACCAAGGACACTGTTCTATGTTACTGGGACCTGGACCACGCCTCCTTCAGCAAGAGGCTTGGGGACTAAACGCCCTCTGCTGGCTCTGTCTCAACATAAGGTTTCCTTCCTTCTTTTATCCTTAGATAAAGAAATATTTTGCCAAAAAATATGTGTGTATTTAAAAGGCTCACGTGTGTATTTGATTCAGCTTTGTTAATTATACAGGTTGTGATTTCCCTAGATTTAGTTCTGAATTTATAAAATACTTTTCCTGTTGAGCTCCTCAGGACAATATTTACTATAAAAGTTCACAGTTTGAAGAGACTCTATATGTTACTCTATGCCAGCTGCTTCACTTTCTAGATGAAGAAACTGAGGTCAGTAAAGCTACAGGGTTCACCCAATTTGCCAGAGCGTCTTAGCGAAAGAGGTCTCTCTGGACCCCAGGCTCATTGTCACTGTTCCTTCACTTGACCATACTGCCCTTTACATACCCATTTTGGAGCTTTGGGCCCTCTGGGAATCCCTTTAGGTATTTGAAATACAGTCAGTTTGAGAAATCTGTTAACAACCATCCAGAAGGACAAAGTGTAAGAAAGTAAACATCATAATAGTTTTTCCCTCATTCTGTAAAAATAGCCCAGGAACATTTGTATTGAAGTAACAAAGCAAATTGTTTAGCAATAAAAATTCAACATTTAGCAGTGATTTATTTTTTAACATGTTCTCTCTTACTATATGTCACACCATCCTGATATTAGCATGGAGAATGAATAGATGGAATTGAATTCATCAATGGAGATGCCAAGCAAAGAGACTTTTTCTCTCAGATAAAAGATTTTTCTCTTAATTGATTTCAGATTCTGTTTATAGCCTGTTAGCCCAGTGGTTTATATAGAAGAGGGTAAGGAGATGTAGGTAGCTTCTAGCTGTGTACTCTTATCTTACATGCCTACATGGTATCTATGGTCTTTTACAGTTTTAATGCTCCAGAAGA